TTCACTTCACACATCATTGGGTTTTGTTAAAAAAAAGTTAAGGTGGACACTAGCTGCCTCGTCTACGTGTTGTCCCCGCACGTCCCTCCTAAATCGCTGTGGGGCTTTTAGTCTCTGCGTAATGCCAGTGTCAGCCATTCACAACAGAGAAATCCTCCGTCCCACCAAAACGTTTGAAAGTCATGAGTTGAAATTCATTTGGGATCAGAGGAATAAACAGCAGGACAGCATGGGCCTGATAATCTGGTGCTTCTATTCTGGTTTCCCTCCCTTAACAGTAGAGGCAGCTGAGAGAGAATCCACCTGGTTCCTATTGTCACCTAGCAGAGTAAATATTGACTTCATCTAGCAGTAGATACAACAGACCTTACAAGGCACCCCATTGCATCCCCCTCATACCAGGGGCTAGTCAGCACACTTTGGTACCAGCGTGAGGTGACCATGCAGCTGTGATCATTTCCTCCTCCCTCTCTCCCCCTCCAGGTGGAAGATGAATGGCACAGAAATGAAGATGGAGCCAGATTCCCGTCACAGGCTGGTTGGAGGCAATTTGGAGATAAGCCACCCAGTAAAAGCGAAGGATGCTGGGTCTTACCAGTGCCTGGCATCCAACCCCATGGGTACGGTTGTGAGCCGAGAAGCCTACATCCGCTTTGGCTGTAAGTCCCTTGTTCATCTCCACAGTGCAAATGGAAGGCAGCTACTGCACAGGGGGGAAACCAAACCTCCCCCTGCTGACATAGGAAGATAAGGGAGATGTTTCCGTAGCACCCCATGGTTAGTGGGCTGGATGCAAAAGGCTTCTGTTCCAGTGTCTTTCTACCACTTTTTCCTTTTCAAAATATATTCGTTCAGTGCCGTGATGACAACTGACGCAAGGGCCATTTATGCCTCTGTTGGGTCGGGTAAAATATACATGAACTTCTACTTTTGCACACTCAGTACCTAATATCATGTCCTCAATTAAATCTTCTAGAGCAGTGGTCCCCAATGAGGTGCCCGCAGGCGCCATGACACTCGCTGGGGAATTTATGTGCGCTCACGGAATGACATGGGCTGGCCCCGCCCCCGGGAGCATGGCACATGCGCGGTGCCAGCCCCTGCCCTGGGCGTGCGGCACATGAGTGGCTCCTAACCCGGGTGCACGGAACATGCATGGTGCTGGCCACGGGCGCGTGGCGCATGGGTGGCCCTACCCCTGGGCATGCGGCACATGAGCGGCCCCACCCCCGGACGCCCGGTGCATGAGCGGCCCCGCCCCTGGACGCCCGACAGCCCCAAAATGTTGGGGACCACTGTTATAGAGCCTTCCACTAATGGGAAAGGACCTGCCCAAGCCTTGTGGTGCAATTAATTCAATGCACCACCAGGAAAAGGGTCTCGGGAATGGTCTTTGGACCCCCATTTGGAAATCCAGGTGTTTTGCTGAAGAGGTGAGTGCATGGGCCTGGAGGGGGCAAGGAAGGCAGAGGATCATTCTCCAGCATCTCCTGCTGGCCACCCAATGAGGCAGTGCTGGCTGCGTTCTTGCAAAGGCAGCTCATGACCATGGCTTTTGGGGGCAGCAGTCTCTGTATGAGTGACAGGCCTCCCTGCCCTGCCACCGTGCAGTTCTCTCCTTGGGAATGACATGAGCAATGCTCCCTCCAGAACCACACCGCGGGCCTCCCCTGTGGGCCCGACAAAACCCGATTACAATGGAACGTACCCCCTGGGCAGGCTCTTCACTTGCTGGTTTCACTGTGTCTGTTTAGTTTTGCAGGAATTCTCCACAGACGAGCGAGACCCTGTGAAGATCACCGAGGGCTGGGGAGCCGTGTTCCCCTGCAGCCCCCCTCCGCATTACCCAGGTAAGAGAGTGGCGGTGAAGGCAGGGGTGGGGAACCTTTTTTGAGTCGGGGCACTGACTCACAGAAAAATCAGTCGGGGGCCGCACACAAGTGAGAAAGACACTGCCCATGTTCCCCTCGTACAGCCGAGCCTAGGGGAGGTGCAGGCTAGTTGATTTTTGTGCTTCAGCACCATGGTGGGGCAGTGCAGGAGCTGGAGAACCAGCACAGGCTCCACAATGCTGGGGGAAGCCCTGAGCCTTAGGGGCTGGACCAAAGCACCTGGGGGCAAGAGGTTCCCGACCCCTGCACTAGAGCAAAGGGGATAGCAGAAGTAAAAGGGGTTTGCGGGATTGCAGGTGATGCTTGAGGTGACCTCATATGGTGAGAATGAGCCAGACCCATGGGCCTGGCCCTTTCTTGCAGGGAATTCTAGGGGAGCCCATTTTCAAGTGTTACCTTTGAGTTCAAGTCTTGTCAATCAAAAGGGGCCATGTGATGGGGCTGGACAGGATGACCACCATGCATAGCACAACTTAGGGTCAAGTCTCGTCCCAGTTTGGGACATAACCTTCTTGGTTCAGCCTGCTCTGGAGGCGGTCCAGGGTAGGGATGTAAGCGATTAGTCAATTGTCCGATAAGCAACTTGACTTGACTAGTCACTTCCCTCCACCCTTGCTGCCTCTATCAGAGAGAGGCAGAAAAGGGGGGGAAACAGGAGCCGGTGCAAAAGTTGGTGTGTCCTCCCCTCCCCCCCAAGCACCATCTCCACTCCGGGGTAGGGGAAGCAGAGGCATAGCGGGGGACCGGGCGCGAGCCGGAAATCAGCTGATTCCCAATTCACACCTGGTTCTCCCTCCTCTCCCCCCCCTTAGTGGCGCTTCAGCCTTTTAATTGTATTAAGAGCTTAATGGCTCTTAATACATTTTAAAGGAAGAGCCGCAGCAGGAAATTCCATCGACTAGTTGATTCGCTGATTAAACGCCATTGAACATCTCTCGTTCAGGAGAGCCAGCTTTTCTCACACCTCACCGTTGACTCTCTCTCATGCAGGCCTGTCCTATCGATGGCTCCTGAATGAGTTTCCCAACTTCATCCCAGCAGATGGAAGGCGCTTTGTCTCGCAGGTGACAGGAAACCTTTACATTGCCAAGACAGAGGCCTCGGACCTG